GGACAGTAGTTAAATGTTTGCGATCGTTTTTTATATGAGAGCGAGGTCTCGTGCATTTAGCATAGCCGGGGCAATAAGCCCTTTAATTCTGCTTCTCTGGGTCTCGGTGTACTAAGTGATGTCAAAGCTACTAGAGCTTTTCTTTCGATAAATCCCTTCTGCTCCAACACGGAGGTCGCTTGATGAAGACTCTATAGCTTCCTGCAAAATAGGTGGATCTTAGCGAACCATCCAAAAGCCCCTTGATGAATAACGCAATCAAGATACCCATATAATTGAGCTTACATTCGATGAGACTGACGAAGTATCGTGTGAGCTAATATTATTTGCAATCATGACTATTTCCCTTCTTTAAGTCCAAGAGGTCATCTTGGCACTTATTTCCGCACGTAGTGGCTCCAACGGTTGTGAGAGTTGCACCTTATTTCTACCATGCACACCAGATACGTCAAAGTTGTTTCACTGAGTCCGAAAACTCATGCTTTGGTATGTCCATATAAGTCGGGCAGGATGAGCATTCTTTACGTGTAATAGGTGAGCCTTTTGCATGATATTATTAGTGATATAAATAATGATAATAGAGAATAGTGAGTATAATACTTTACCACAATATCACAAAATTCAGTGATATTGTTGCAGTCACTCAAGGGTAAACTATTCGGTTAATATATCATTTAATCAAACCACCAATCGGCGATATCCTCGCGCAATAGGTGGTGAATAGACGCCGCGATACCTGTTATTGTATCAATCAAGTTAAGATAGGGCCAATAAGACAAGGCACACTTAGGACTTAGTTATAGGGAATTGCTATTTCAACCACACTTTTTGCTATTATCCCCACACATCAAGATGCCATCCATCGTTTTGCTGGATTTTAACTGCTTTCCACCTGTAGTCGGTCAAACGCATCCCGATTTCTCGTTGGTCCTCTTCTATCACAAGGACTGACTTTCGATTTTAAAATGAGACGCCAGGGACACAACTAAGTTCCACACGCGGATGGGTAGTCTTGTTGCCCGATCGTTTGATTGTGAATGCGAAACCTGCCATCAGTCCAAACTTCTTGACTCTTGACATGATCTATAAACGCGTCTCGATTTGCAAAGACGGTTTTTGTGTTGAGTTTGGCCATGATGTGGTGGTGTGGAAAGATGATCTGGTGGTGTGGTGATGTTCAAATTAAACAAAGGTTATGGTGTGGTGGAACTTGTAAACTGTGGTGTGGCGGAGCTTGTAAACTGTGGCGTAACTTGTTCAAAGTGGGGTGTGTCGGAGCTTGCTTAAACTGTGGTGGAAGTAGCAAAAATTGTAGAGACGTAGCAGTTCCCTAATTATATGAATACATTTTTCTTATATAAAAATAAGCGTAGTCGCTTGGTCTTGGGTATTCCTGTAGCGTACCGTGTATCTTACTGAACAGGGAAATAGCTCACATTGTGTCAGTGAGAGCTTGCTACGCACCGAAGCCAGTACGTAACTACCAGTGACCCGTTACACTACACCGCGTCGTATTAGACGCGACGACTTTTGATTGCGTCCTCTAGCTCGACGATAAAGCCATGTAAGGAGTTTTGTATTGCTGTCGTGAACTCAACGATTTCATTTAAAGATCTTAGGTCGATGGTCGTGCGTTGGTTTGACATCAATAAGATGATTATGATGCAGCCTCACAACAAATTGATATTAGTTACCTTACCCCCGCAATAGCGCAAAGAAGCCGAATCTTTATATTAAATCAATCACAGCTTCTCTTCAGCCGCAACTAATTTGCGTTGCATGAAGGTCAGCAATTACGGCATGACGCTCGTACCTATGACGGTAAAGGACATAACGTTTGCGGTACGACCGATAATACCGACCTCATTTGAATTACCGCACAAACTAGTAGTTACTCGCAGAATAAATTTTGTATTTAGTCTATTGTATATGGTGGATGAGTACGTGATCAATAGACGAGCGACTGATAGTTTTCCACTGTAATGGAAGACCCACGTTTATACTGCGACAGTAAAACCTGACCTACGCTGATAAAAGTCTAAGTAGGCTCCTCGTAACCTCACGTACGCGTATGTACAGTGGAAACAATTAGACATACGAAAAAAGGTAGATCAACGGTAACAGATATCTGTATTTGCTTATCATCAAGCAAATCGATAAATCACACCCCTCTTAATTACACACAACAATTCAAACAGATACTGCAACTTAGGTACTCGCTACCAATTGCGCGTGTACAATTTGGTAGACGCATTGTTGCTTGGTATCATTATAACGGTAGTACACTGTGAGTGTTACACCCATGGGCTAGGTGCGTGTACCATGTGACATATCACAGAAATAAAATAACGTCGCTGAGCCACCAACAGTGCAATAAGGTGTTACTCTATTAGACGACGAAACCTTACATTTTACTGAATACGCCAGATTTTATCCTCGTGTTATAAAATATGTAAACGAACAGTTCGCATATTGATTTAAATACGAAACGTGCCTTATTCAGTCGTCTTTGGTCTCATGAGTAAGAAGTCTTGTTAAGGTATATATATTCTACAGCACTTGGTGCTGTTGATTCCCTGAAACATGTTTGTTCCTTATAACGAGACTAGAAGGTCATGAGCGAAGCAGAATCGCTGAGTCGCGTTCGTTAAAGTACGAAGTAGATCGTTGAACTAAAAGTCTGTCTTTGGCAAAGAAGCTGTTATAGATTCGGTACAATCATGGCATATTCAATCAATTAGCAAAAGTTGCTAAATATTGTATTGTACGATACTATTCCTGAATAATTTAGCTAAACAGATATGCATTGTCATTTTGAATGTCAGTGTCATGTTACGAGCTCACCGCGTTTGCAGTTTCAATGTAGGGATTATCTTGTTTACACTTTCAATGTAAGCATCGTAATAAATATACACCAAATAACAAATCAAACTAAAGATGCACCAGATAATTAATTTAAAACTACACATGATCATCGTTTCCTGAACCCTCGAAGGTAGGAAAACCATGTTAAGAATATAGCTAAAGGTAGTGCTGATCGTTGTGCTACGTGTCTGGTGTGGATCGATAGGGACGACCTTGCTACGATCGTGTGTACAAGTCTCCGCTGCAGATAAAAAAAATGCATCTATCTTCATTGAATCCATGCCGCAATATTCAGACCGACACCAGCACCATCAGCAGCCTTATTTTGTGACGTCACAATAATTCCTCAGCATTGCGTGTTCCTTTAGCGTGCAATCGACCTTATATGACCGTAAGCATCCACGTGACCACCTGCAAAGGACGCAAACAATACCGTCAGCCCTACACTATCTCGTCTCCTTATTAATGTTTGTCGATCCGTCGTCTTATGCTGCCTCGGGTCGTGCCATAAGTACCTTGCATAGCTTTGTGTTTTCGCTTCATAACAAGATCGCCGTCTCATCTCGCTTACGCAAAGCGATACCGCCAAGACGACAGCTGCACATAAGTATCATGGGCAACGATAAGAAATAGATAAAGGAGGCATTGCGTCCTTTATTTTCCTAATTAGCTGATGTTGCATGTTTCCTTTGATCTCTGGAGACTTGCCGCGTTCTCCGTTCCTGTAAATCTGTCGACCTTAGTCCTTTGCAACTTCATGTCGCACTTCTACCTGCTTCAGCCGTTATCAAGGGGCAGCGTCCCCACAGAAGAGCACATACGTGCACCCATATGGTGCAAGAATTTGGGTGTCGAAGGACAGCTGACGTGAGATTGCCATGACATAACTGCCACCGACATAACTGCCCCCTCATTTGATGATCTGATGTCTGATGGGTGGATAAATCGTTGGCATCTGACATGATGGATGATGGATGGATGGGCACATTATGACGCATTCAGTAAGGTACGGTAGAACTAACATGATCATCAAGAGAACATGCTCAATTCACCCCGTACTCCGCTAGTCCCTCTCAAGCAAGGCCTGGTGGACTCGAATACCCATTTGCAAGCCACGGGTGTGTCAGCCAAGGTGAGTTTATGTATTATTGACCGACCGCTCCTTTGATGGATTGTGCAGGGATGCACACGGTTAATAAATGGTACAGAGCGCACAGGAAGAAAAGCGTAGGGTAGTACGAGTTGTGAACGAAACGATCACTTCTTCTCTCTGCAATCTATTCTCAAGAAATAAAATACTGGTCACGTCGACAAGCATTGTCAGGCTTAACAAATCCAAGCTGGTACCTCGAGGGGCGTCAAAAAGCTTTCGCTTTCTCGGGTCAATGCTTCACGGCCCAATGCGCCAAGAAAGCAAAGTAGCGAATGACATCATCGCAAACAAATTTGAAGCTGGTGATGCTCCAGTACGACTGCACAAGCCAGAAGACGAGAAATCTCGGTCTATTTGTTACGAGTCTCACGATCCGTGTTTGATACTTCTTGCTTGTCGACTCGCACGACTTTTGGTCAGAGTCGTCTATCGCGGTGCTTTTCCTACGTCGAAACCCGGTGAGGTCATTGCTCTCATGCCAGATGTTACGGACTCTGCCTACAACGCACATCGCATTAGCTCACGTGTAGCATCTGATCGTTTCGGACCGATATTTCTTTGTTTATGCAGCTGTACCGGCTGCCACCTTTATCATGTCGAAATAAATGGCTGGACATCACCACTCGATCCTTGAGCTTTACGGCACCAGACGACATGGAGATAGCAGATCGCATTGAACTCTAGCCGTGCAAAATGCAAAATGCAAACGGCTAACAGCCCCACGGCAATATGTGAGGCAACGCAGCATCAAGACCGTTCGTGGATGGTATCGCTCGACTAGTAGCGCGTGCGCTCGGAATTGCTGGCAAAACGCCACGAATACCGATATCTCGGCAGCTACAGTAACGTGACATGTTTGCATGTCCAGAACTGCAGTGTCTCGCACTGACCATGCCGTGCCAAAGCCAAGTCGCGCAGAACAGGGCTTTCTCAAGAAAGCTGATCGAGCACACTATCTACTAGACTTGTCAACCGATTATCTCTAGTCCTTCGCCGACGACTCCATGTCTTCCACAAGTCGAGAGCCGTGCTTCTTCGTCAACCGCTCTGTCAGCATCTCCTTGAAATCATTCATGATCGCGTTCTCACGTTGTTGCTTCTCTTCAAAGTTGATGAGTGCTAGCGCGCGCTTCTCTTCGGCCGTATACACTTGATTCTCCTTTCGAATACGGACAGCATTCATGCGCTTGTGGCGGCTACCGCTCATCACGTAGCCCAGATTCTCCAAATTCTCAATTTCTTCGCCGTTCCAGCCGACTTCGCCACGACGTGGAATGCGCATGTTTTTCTGCACAAACTGTGCAATAGCCGCTCCCTCACCAGGTAGCAGCGCCTTGCCATAGTTCAGCGACGAGGCGGCCGTCTCTTCTGCTGCCGCTAGGGGCTTCGGCCCAATCTCCTCTTTTTCGTCCTCTTGCTTACGTAAGCCTTGCACTGCCTCTCTGAACTCTGTCGTTTCTCTCTTCTCGCCCTCATCCACGTCACTCAGTCTCTCATGACTATCTGCGCGCTTTCTACTCTCAGACGCTATCGACACGTCCGAGACACTGCCACTACGACTGTCGTCGCTTGCACTCTCGCTGTCGACGCATCGAGTTCTGTGACGATTTTTCTTGCTATTCTTCGTGCGTTTCCTGCTCTTCTTAGAACTCTTTGTCTTCTTACGAGAGCGACGCGAGGATTTGACCTTCCGCTTTCGCTTCCGACGTCGGCGGCGCTCGTCGTCACTATCCGAGCTAGAAGCGTTCGAGTCACTCAACGACCTTGACACAGATCTGCTGGACCTTGAGCTCGATTTGGAGCTCGAACTAGACCGAGATCTTGATGGTGACCGTGTCCTCTTCTCCTTCTTGATCTTCTTCGTTGGCGGCGGAGGACTCGGAATCCCTGCCCAGATGCTAAACTCAACGGCCTCCCGCTCCCGCTTTCTCTCCTCAAAGAATCCATCCGACTTGTCATTACTGTATCTGCTGCCTCCTCTGCTTTTGAACCCACCACCATCCGAACTGCTCACGGGTCCGTAGCGACCCATTGGCTCGTTAAATCTGGACGCGCTTGGACGCCCTCGGCGCGGAGAACGGGAGCGCATGCGAGAAGTCCGACTACTGCTACGACTGCGGCGGCGTCTTGAGTAGCGGTGGGCACTGCGGCTCCGACTGCGTCGAGGCGACGGACTTCGGTACCTCCGACGGGGACTCGAGCTCCGCCCCATGTGCTCGATAGAAATTGTGTCAAGAAAAACGATTTATACATCGTCAAAAACACTTTCTACATTGCCGAAATGATGCGCTGTCGAAAACTCTTTTTCCAACCACTAGTTCGTCGCATGAGCACTACAATCCACTTAGCTGGTACTTCAGGCGAGCATTGCCTGAATCGCGTCAATACGTGGGAGGTACTCCTTCGTAACTCTAGTAGCAAGGACCTTGCGTAGCTGTTTCACCTCTTTGTCTCCGCGAATGTCGTCCAAAAACGACAGCACAGCCTCGAGCTCGTGCTCAACGCCTTTGGATGCGGCAAGAATGTCGGACCGGGTGAGATGCGGAGCCAAGCGCACTGGCTTCGTAGCTGCCTGAGCAGCTGATGCGCCTTCAGCTTCTCGCTCTTCGTTCTCGAGTCGCTTCAGCTCAACGTCCGCGTCAAAAGAGTCCCACTTTGTTTTCAGCTTGTTACCCTGCGAGTCGAAATGATAATCTACAGCGACACAGTTGCGTACAAAACATCGGCATCGCGTACTTCATACGAGTCCCCACATCCAAAGGCTGCATATGTACGAGTGACTTACAGGAATTCAACGCAGATGTTGCCACAAAGTTCTCTTCTCTTGCCTCCTTTGTGGCCTCCTCGCTCACCAATTCGTTTGCTTGCGCCTCTAAGTGCATCACCCGGACAGCAACCTCTGCAGCGATCAATTCCACCTTTCTCAACAGCTTGATGTCCTCGCGACGTTTCTTCAGCGCGCTGTATCGACGTACACCACACGTTGCCACCAAGAGCTCCCTCCGTTAGACGCTCTAGCGACGAAAGCTTACCGCATTGCTCTGCTACTGCTTCAGCACAAACGAAACATCTTCGCAGTCTTTCATTCAAGCAAACTTCCGCTACAGACGCACATGTATCGGCGGTACTGCCAGCACACAAGCGGCACGGCCGCTGCAGTTGCAGTCGCTACTGTAGCCACTTGCCACGCGCGACTCGACATTTTGATGATGCGACCAGTCGGTGCGTCATCGAGTACCATTTGCGATCGGAACTAAGCGGAGACCTTACAAGTCTAAGTAAACCGAAGAACGGGACGGGACGGGGGAAACAACAGGGAGTGGCCACGTAAGAAACGAAACGCGTTTCTAAAGCTCAATGGGCAAGAAGACGAACTGGACGACGGCCGAAGACCAGACGTTGTGTCGCGTGTGGCTGAGCGCTAGCGACCTGCAGCTCCACGGTGGGGACCAGAAAGCCTCCAATTTCTGGAACGTAGTGCTCGAGCTGTTTCACCAGGAGGTGGAGTCGCCTGTCGAGCGGCCGCTCAACGGTCTCAAAGTGCGCTGGACACGGATCAATCGCGACTCGCAAAAGTTCGCGTCGATCTTTAATGAGCTCCAGGGCAAACGGATGAAGCAGGCAGAGGAGCGTGGGGAAGACGCGGGGGCGACTGCTGCTGTGGCACTGTTGGCAGAGCAGCCGTGGATCGACGATGCCAAGGTCGTGTTCCATCGGATCTACAATACCAAGTTCTCATTCGAAACGTGCTGGAAACAACTGCGCTATTCGGCCAAGTGGATGCAGCTCTTTGCTAATTCAAGCAGCTATCCAGTGCTGACAGTCAACACTGCACCAGCTACACCGACGGCAGTGGCGGAGGAGCCAATTGTCGCAGAGACGGCAGAGGTGCCGTCTGATGCCAGCAACGAAGTCGATGCCACGAAAGCCGATCAACCCGCCACAATGTGCACGGCGGCTGTGGCGTCTACCGCACCGAGTGTGACGACCTCGACACCTGCAGTAAGCGAGGCACCGACCTCTCCGACGACGGCTTCTGTTGCTGCATCGGCGGCTTCAGCTTCACACGCTTCGGATACGAATGCGTTCATCGTCCCGAATCACAAGCGGCGAGCGGACATGTCACTGGAGTCATTTGCCCAGATCCCGCACCACAACCAGTTACAGCGACTCACGAGCACGTTGGTGGACGAGCTCAAGCGACAGAATGATCTCATGGAAGACCAGAATGCCATTGCGCTGCTAAAGATTAACAGCGAGACGATAACGGACGGAGATACTCGACAGTGCTACCACATGTTACGAGCGCGCTACTTGAAGAAAGCTTGCGATAGTAGCCGAACAAGCACGTTGGTCTAGGGCCACTGCCGATGCTATGACTAGCGAGGGGTAAAACGAAACAATGTGCAGAGTTGTGTACCTGCTTGTTCATTGGTTGGTCTTGTCGCGTTTGACGATTCTCATTCGTCAATCCAAATTTAGGAACTGCGGTCCATGGAGACGAGAGACACTACAGTTGCAGACGATGTGGCCGCTGTCAGACGATACTGGGGATCAGAGCAGGAATACAGCAACGATGAATTGTTTGCAATTGCTCAGCGCCAGTGGGAGAGTGAGCACCGCAGTGGTGGGGATGCCGCAAGAGAGTTTGTGCTGCAAATGGTGGCCAATCGACTGGAAGACCAACTTCTGACGTGGCTATTACAGTCCCAAGTCAATGATACAATCGAAGATATCCAGACGCTCCTTGATGTTTGCTTGCATCCTTGTTCTACAGAGAACGGGTTGGGTCTTTTGGAGACGACGTTGGATGCATTGGTGACGGCAGCAGTTGTTCGAGCTGCTGCTTGTGATCGAAGTGCGGAGAACCGGGTGCGACAAATTGCTGAGATTGCAGGAGTCGTCGAGGCAAAGTCGACGAAAGATAGTCGAGCTCGTGATGTTTTACGAGCATTGGGAAAGTGCGGTAGTAACATTGACGATGTAGATGGTATGACCGTGTTTTCGGAGCTCCCATGTGTGCTGGATACTGGACTGTTTAGCTCAAAAAGTGCTCGAGTACTGATGGATGAAGCTGAACAAGTTATTTTGCTACAACAAGCTGAGCTGGATAGAGTACGAGGGTCAAACGAAGGTTGTGCTGATGTCGAGGCAAGAGAAGGATGTCCACTAGCATCGAATATGCTATGGGGTCTTGCAAAGCAAATGGTAGAGTTGATTCGATCAAAAACCAATCAAAACGCTTTCCGCGAAGATTGCCGCACAGATCTGGACATCGCGGTCGATGCTGTCGAGTGCATGACGAATTTGGAGGCGTATCTAGAGATGAAAGGAGAAATCAGTCTGCCTTGTGGTTCTGATCGTTCTGATCAAGTTGCTGCTGATGAAGATGCGGAGCCTTCCGCCATTGAGTTGCTCTCAAGCATCCAGGTCTTGTCAGACACTGGTGAGTTCGTTTCGAATGAAGCCATCGAGAGAGCTGTGGATGAGCTATCTGCGATAGAAAAGCTTGATGTGATCGCTGTTCAAGCGTCGTTCCTTCTTGGTGTACAAATGCGTCTCGAGGTTTGTTTCTTAGACCGTTTCGAAGCCACAAAAAGTGAACTCGAGCGTCAAATCATAAGCATATTCAACCGTCTTGTAGACAAGGCTCCAGATTCGAAGCATACTGCATCGTTGGTCATTCTGGCTGCGTTTTGTCCGAGGCAAGTCGTCCAGCAGTGCATTCTCGGCGCTCGTGCAGGCGTTCTACATCAAGACTTGTGTACAGAGGTGCTACAGGCGTTGCCGTTGCTTCTCGAATGGAACGAAAACGTCACGTACGGGTGCGGAACGATGTTTGAGTGCGAACTTCAACGAGCTGTGCTTGATGTTTGCAGCAACCAAAACACTTTTGATCGGGAAAGTCAAAACATGATGTCACTTCTCCAGTCCGTCGTGGAAATTCCGAAAAGTGGCCTTTTACATCCGAACATTCCAGTGATGACGGTCAGTAGGCTCGTTGATAAAGTGGTAAGTCCTGTTTGCTGTCGAACCGGTGTAAACGCGCGAACGCAGCTCAACCTGTACACACTCGTGCAGCAGTTATTTGAACACTTTGCGACGACCGATGCGTGTGCGACTGCTGATCGTAGCGCTTTGCAGAACTTTTTCCAGCTAATTCTAGGAGCTGTGCGCTCTTGCGACGCTAATGACCTGACATCGAGGGTACACGTTCACGAGAAGTTACTTCTTGTACTGAAAAACATCATGGAGTTGATACCCGGCCCCGTGTCGATGGCGCAGCAGCTGGATAGACCGCTTCATCCGTCGCTATGGACGCTTTTGCGCATCTTCTATGGTGATATCGTCAACCGCGAACTATGTAAGGGTTGGGATGATGTTGCGCTCGTCAAAGCGTACGCGCAGGCACAATCGATCGGTGACTTGCATGCATCGCTGCCACTGCACGTTCAGAGCGTGACTTCAGCTATCCAAGTGTTACTTTGGGAGTTGATCTGGAATTCGACACAATCGGAACAGCTAAATCCAACGTTTGGCAGGGCTGAAGCGTGGAGTCTTTTGGATGTTATTGCTGGACCCAATGTGTTTAAGACGGACTCTGCTGTTTGTACGATTGAAGGCTCTCTCCTCATACAACGTGCGGTTGCAAGCATAATGCTTGCGTGCGGCAGTGTCATTTTTCAAGCACTGCTTGACAAAATTATTCCCCGCCTGCTGCGGTGTGAGCCGAATGAGTCAAACGCGGAGCCGAATGAGTCAAACGTCACTTCGGGAGACAGTCTTGAACTGCCCAAGTGGGCCGCGGACAAGCTGTTTCAGCATTCCGAAGGCGAGCTGCAAATTCCGTGTCGACTCGTTGCGACTCATTTAGAGATGCGATACGTTGCAACTTGCTGGCGCCTCCTCGATACAACTAGAGAGGCGACTGCGACAACAGACGCGCAGGTTTTGGAATCCCTCAGCCATGTCCTGGCTGCCCAAGACCGAGCTGTCTCATCGTCTCAGGGGTCACTGTCAGGAACGTTGTTTTGTGTCCAGTGGCTGTGTTTCGTGGCGTCGACTGCTGGTGAGCTGCAATCGGACACGGGACCACCATCGACCACTCTTCAGATACAGCTTGAGCTATTGCTTCTCCGTGCGTTGCACCAGCTAGAACGATTGAAAGGACTATCGGCGAGTGAAGCACAGTTCAGCCAGGGTTTTGTGGCGGCGTGGCTGGCCTACCTACCTTTCGGTCAGTTTAAAAAGGTTTTATCTTTCATAGCGAGCAGGACGAACAACTAGGACGATCGCACTTCAAAGTGCTCAGCACCGAGACGTGCCTCCTTGTTTCAATAGTTGCTGCGATTTACGCGGCACACATCTCGTCGACGATGTGGTTCGACAGGATATGGTGCGGGTCCACCTCGTCACGGGCCTTCTTAAACTTGTCAAGCGGATATCTCCTCTTCAGGCGACTGCGCATCTTCTGACGTTCAGCAGCATCTTCGGGCCACTCAATTTTTGCCCAGTGCTCCATTGCTCCATACGGTTCCGTGAAGTCGCGGTACATGGCGTAGTAATCCATAAAGCTCTTCCTGATGGACTGACGAACCTCCTTCTCCGCGGTCGGTAAGTACAAGATGACACCAACCCACGAGAAGATTTGGTCCGGGTTCGTTGACGACGCGGGGCTCATCGAAGACGTGCTGCGAGCCGTCCATCGCTGCTCAATCGGTGAATGCGCCGGAATGTCATCCTCGTCAATGCGCTTGAGAAGCTTCTCCATAAAGTCCAGCTCCAATGTGCCGGTACACGGGAACGAGACCTCCCCGACGAGCTGTTGACCACCACAGTCGAAGCCGACGATGTCGTCCGAGTACGCGACCCGGTAGCCTTCGCTGAGTTTCCAGAACTGCTTTTCCGCCTCGTTCACGCGAATGACATGCTGCTTCTCCAGCGGGTTGATCTCGAGCAGTTTGTCACGCATCTTCGTGAAGCTCCAATCGCGATAATCTGGCTCTGGTTTCCCCTTGGTGAGCTCTATGTACAATTTCCGAGGAACCTCCATACGCACCTCATGGCTGTGTTGCACCTGCGGGAATCGCTTGTCGTCAAGTGGTTCATCTTCTTGCGCACGTCGACACTGCACAACGACAATCGCATCTGTGTACGGGATCCACATGTAGCGTAGGTGCTGAAACTCGACGAGCCAGCGGGTGTGGTTCTTCCGGATCTCTTCGAGCGTCGTCACAGTAGTCCTCTCAATCAGCTTGTGCTTGGGCACGCACTGCAGCGTCACTTTAGTCACAACGCCAAGTGCACCAAGGCCGCATTTCGCCAGGGCAAAGAGCTCTGGGTTCTGCGTAGCACTCAGTGTCATCGTTCCTTTAGCCGGCGTCACAATCTCCATCGCAACAATCTGCTCGTCAATGGGCGGGATGGCCGCTCCTGTTCCGTGACATCCAGCCTGACAGATACCGCCAACTTGCTGGTCACGAATGGACGCAACGTTTTGCATGGTCAAGCCGTGCTGGCGCAGCTTGTCCAGCAAGTCCCCGACGATCATACCCGTCTCTACCGTCACCTGCTTCCTCGCCATGTCCACGTCGAGGATCTTGTCAAGCAGCGCTAGTGACATGAGAGCTTCGTGGCGGTCATTTCTGCTTGCAACGTTGTCGGAGAAGCCCAATCCATTGGGCGAGACGCCTGCGCCCATGCAGCGCAGTTTCTGCCTCTTGTCGTGGTACCGCTTGAGCAGCTCCTCGACCGCGTCGACTGACTCAGGCGCGTGGAAACGCGTGGGGCGGCACTTGTGCGTGGCCGACCAGTTGACAAACTCGTGCTCGTCGTGGCTTGGCGCTGCGTCCGTGAGAGCCCCTGCAGCAGTTAACGCAGCGCCAGCCACAGCGACGAGCGCGACCTTCTTGACAGCGTCCAGAGCACGCGGCGCGCGTTGCTGAGGGCGGGCGTGACGCGCGTGAAGACGTGCCGCTTGCACAGTGTAGACAGGGCGTGCAGCCCATCGGTGCTGCCGCGCGCGGGCGAGTGCCGCGGATTGGAGGCGCATGAGGAGGTGGCGGAGGTGCGCGTGTGGGTGGAAGAGGTGGGTGTCGTTTGGGGCGAATCAGACAATGGACAACGCCTGACGCTCAATTGTGGAGTCGGTCGCGACGAATCAGACGGTCGTTTTTGACCGTTACGTCTACGACAGATGGTAGCGTAGGGATACATACTATTGGGCTTTGACGTTTGTAACGACGGAGCACAGATGAGACCGAGTATTGATGATCGATTTTTGATGCCTTCCGCCACACTGGCATTCCACCACTGGCAAATGGCCTACTTCGCCTACTTCAAATGTTGGCAATAGGTTTGACCGTGACTTTGCCAGAGCGAGGGCCGGAAGGCTTGCCAAGGAGCACGGACCGTCTCACGGCGGACAGATTGTCTGGATGAACTTGGCAGCGCTGTGCCACGCCTCCGTGACGGCTGACTTTGTCGCCACGTTCTCGAGGTCTCCGCGGTGGACCCACCCGTGCTTCTCGTCGGCGAAAAGCATCACGTCCGACTCTGGGCCAATGTCCGCACGCGACCTGAGAATGTCGTGGATGCGGGCACCGGGTTTGAGGTAGTCGGGGTCGTCGCCAGCAACCAAAAGCAGCTGCGGCACGTGGACGCTTTTGGCCAGCGTGCCGACCGCCGCATCGCCGCCTTTGAGCCAGCTCTCGACGATCCAGGACGGCTGGAACGACACGTGGCCCAGCACGACCGGATCGTTTTGTGCCGTCTGTGTGGCACCTACCCACGCTCCCCAGCACATTCCGTAGCTAACAAGTCGCTCGACGCCCACTTCCGTCTTGAGGTACTTAATTGCGTCCTGAATACGCGGACTCAAGTGCTGAGCAAACGTGTACTTTTTTAACCACTGTTGAAGGTCGTCTAGGTCTTCGACATAGTCGCCGTCCGTGAGGTCAATGACCACGACGGCATAGCCTAGCTTGCCCATCGTATCGGCATCACTCTTGGTGCGGCCGCTGTCAAGGCCGTAGATGTCTGGGTACACTAGAATACCGGCGGTAGCAGATGCAGGACCAGTTACGTAAATGTTGGTATTCCCAGTCTTCTTCATCACACCGAAATGGTCTGCGGGGCCACGCGCAGGCTCAGCGGTCGCAGGGCAGCAACTCATTTTACGTAGCGAGCTGGGGATTATTACGTCAGAAACTTCTTGGTGTCGATGGCCGCCACTCGAGTCAAATTGGTAAATGCAAAACTAAGTGTGTCTTGGAGCTCACGGCTCTTCTTTCATCTTGTGTCCGTTGTAATCAGGGGTACCTTTTTGAACTCATGTTTTGTCCGTTGTGGTCCGAAGTGCCTCTTGTGTCCGTTCTGTGCCTACTTCTCCTGTATGACCGTTGTGATCCTACCTATCTTTTATGTCGGTTGTGATCCTACTTACCGCTTATAGACGTTTTGGTCAGATTTACCACCTGTTGTTGTGATTGCAGCGTTCGTCTACATGGTCCGTCTACATGTTCGGTGCACACAATCATCCTACGTCTCCAACCATCCCACTTTTCCGATCATCATACCGTTGCCAATCCGTCTGCAAAGCAGCGTGAGAAGGTTAGGTCAGCCTGTTTATGGTGACGAAACAGCATCAGACGAGATTGTTTCGTCACCATAAACAGGCGAACACGCGCGGATTCGTAACACTGCCGTGATTACCTTGTGACGGAGTCCGTCGAGAGTGCCCTTCGTCATACTGGCTGCCAGCATCAATTCAAGCTCATAGTATTGCGTGTTTCACTTCGCCGCGCTTGAAAACACCTCGAATGCAGTGATACTTAATATCTACGAGCTTGACCCGGCCGTGTTTGACAAAACTCTTCGTCATCTTGAAACAAGATTTGTTATTGTCTTTACCGATCAGGTGGAGTCGTTCCTTCTCATTGGCAGCCATTTCCACGCAGTAGACGTTCAAATTACATGCCCTCTTGCATCGCTAGACCAAATGCGATGGCCTCCTCGTTCGCAGAGCGTGATGCACCTGGCGGTCCACTTGCTACCCCCAGCTTATTAGCGCACCTGTAGCATGAACGCGTCGAATGAGGTCGACGTGCGGCCAGCGCCATTTCCAGCCCAGTTTGAGATCGAGTGCCCACTAAAGTCGATCGTAAAAAGGACGTCGTATCAATTTCTCCGTGCCCTGATTCCTCGAACCTAGCGAAATATGCGTTTGACAGCACCCCGGTGCTTTTCGATGGTGTGTTCCACGGAGCGCGACACATCACCGACTACGTACACGATGTCTGAGCATGTCGCATTCGTCAAGTGCTTCATCGGCAACAACGGTTTTTGATAATAAGAGCTTGATAAAATTTAATGATAATTGGAAAATAAAAAAATGCCCCAGATGATCACGAAAATAAAAATATGCCCCACGTTTTAGTTTGACGAATCTCTTGAGGCATCATCGCACGTTTCCTCCCTGAAAGAGGCCTACACACGACGAAGTCTGCAGGCACTGAAGCCATAAATAAGAGCTAAACAGAAAGAATCGATTCACTGGGGTCCATTTATATGGATTAGGATTTTTTAAGTATCAAGACTGATAAGCAATAAGGGAATGCAATCCCACTTGTAAACCAACATTGATAGCAACCGCAGCACCTACAACAACAACAGCAGTATCAAAATCAGTAGCAATAGCAGAAGAATCATCTGCAGAGAAACACCAACAGCAACCGCATCAGCTACAACAACAACAGCAGCAGTAGCGGCAGCATCAACAATAGCTACTGAAACATTAATGGCAAAAGAAATAGCATGAATATCAACAACATTAGCACCGACTAACTGTGTTTATGGCCGCGACCGATGATACAAAGACGCGTAGACGTAATTATGTCTCGCGCCTGCGCCCGCAACTGGTGGCCGCAAGCTCAGCACGCCCGCGGCAGAACCCTCTCCGCGGCTTCCCAAACAAGGCGGGGGTTGGTCACGGCCGGAAACTTGAAAAACGAAAATGATCAAGGACGCGTGGTTTTATGTGTACCACATTAACATGAGTTTACTTGGACGTGGGCATTTTTTTCCGATCATCTGGGGCCTTTTTTATTTTCGTGATTAAACGTGGCATTTTTTATTTTCCTAAAAAGATGATATTTTTCTTTTTCAAATTTGACCGCCAAAAATAAAAAATTACAGGTTATAGGTGGTGCGCACCGTGTAAAGACACTACCGAAGGAACAGGCGGAGCATATGGAGTGATCGATGGTAGCTGACAAACAAGGTGATTAGGGATAAAAGAAGTCGAAACACATTTCGTTTCTCTTTTCCTAACCACCAAACAAATGCCAGCGAATTATACATTGTGGGTTTAAGTCCCCCGAAATGACGTCTTGCTGCTCAGCTAGGTGCTATGACACCACATGCGGTCTATGATACGACATGACCGACCCCAGTAGTCGAATGGTAATGCACGAAAAATAGAAACGGGGAGGTACCTGGATCGATATCTACGGTGAGGGGGGGGGGTACGGTTATAGGAGCCGGAGAAAGGCCAACATAGTAGACGAGCCACCTGCCAATGGGTAGCCGCCCTGCCAGCCCGCACCTTATATATTTGATAGTTGAATGGGCTGGAGGTCTAACTGGCCGAAAAGCCCCATCGAGTAATGAGCAGTATGGGCCTTCTAAGGAGGTAAAACAGTGTCACTGGACTCAACAGACCACCCCAGGATGATCTGGAGGACTTCACGGCTTGAGTATCAATGAGACGACAAGCGACGGCGCATGCATCTCTCATGCACGAGAACGCGTGGACACCGAGCATGGTGCAGACCTCCAGGACAATATCGAGGGACTCAGTGGACGTCAGGTACGCGCTTGGCGTAGGGCCCTCTAAGGCTGGATCAGATGCCTCTTGGGGACCCGGACAAGCTTATGGTAGTGAAACGGGTGTCTTTGATCACTTTTTCGCTGCTGGATTACACCGGAACCGAGCCGACTAGCTTAGTACAGCCATGTGTATGCCAGTGCCGTTGAAAGATGCCGCAGCCTCATGCGCATCATATAAAGCAGTTTACTTACAGGTTCAGCCTACGATGCGATCTTACGCACCGCCGAGGCAGCACTTGATTCCGCCACAATACTTTTAGATTCAAGATGCTAACTGCCGAACGCATATAGCTGCTAAATCAGCGCTTCACCTGATACGAAGAGTGCAAAGGTTTTACAGCAGGGTTTAAGAATTGAGTATTGCAGTTCCTGGATGAAGTTGGCGCGGCTTAACGACTCAGGGGAGTCAAATGGGCTGAGGAATACAAGATGATACATATGAACGGTACCTCGATGAAATCGTACGGAAGCATTTTGACAATATGAAAAGAGCCTGGACCTCAAAAGTGCCTACGTTTTAGTGCTTAATGAACAGGAAGATCGAGGTGTACTACAGAGTTATACGCCGCGCGTCCCTTTCGATCACCCAAGTGTAGTCTGCGATCACAATGACATTATTTAAACTCCTTCGAGGACTCGCCCCTCTCATTGCACTATAGGGCTTTTCGGCCAGTTGGGCCTTTAGCCCACCCAACTATCATACATATAAGGTGCGGGTTGAAAGGGCAGCTACCCATTGACAGGTTGCTCGTCTACTATGTTGGCCTATCTCCGGCTCCTATAACCGTACCCCCCCCCCTCACCGTAGATATCGATCCAGGTACCTCCCCGTCTCTATTTTTCGTGCATTATCGCTCGGCCACTGGGGTCGGTCGAGGTGTACTACAGAGGAAACGTTCTGTAGTACGTCATACGATCAATGCGGGCTCTTAAGCCGAATAACCTGTCTTGAATGATGCAGTAATAGTACCTGATCGCCGTAGCAAGCTCGACGAGATGCCCGGATCGGTAATGGTCCAGTACATATGCGAAATGTCTACGCCGGATTTTCCCTATTACGAAGCGTGTTCGTATAGTAGACTCACCATCCTCTGGACGTGCAGTATACTCGTGATAAAGAGGCACCTGGGATCGCTCATCTAATACTGTGTAGGTAGTTTTTACTGTGTCCATACGAGCATCGGCGCCCCGTTTGACTTAGAGTCGTTGTTATAGAACAAAGCGACTGTAACAGTCGCTGTTCGTTTAGCTAGTGGACTCATACTTCTTTGTCTACAACATGAACTCAGTAGTTCTTGAGCGTATTCCTTTCTCTGCTAAGGAGCTATGGTAGCGTCGATACGAAGATGGTCTGAAATCTATATTTGGTGTGGAGGTAGCTAATGTAACTATATCGCACTAGAATCAATCAAACATCTCCAAAGCATGATGCTTGTTCTGTCCACGGATCATACCTACTTTGGCAGGCAAACCTATAGTAGTAATGTGGATGTGTAAGCACAACGACTGTGAGTACGCCACGATGTTGTATCAATGGACGAGCTCTAAAGCATGCTTGTCTATCTACATGAGACCATATGATTTAGACACTGCGGACAGGAGCTCATATTGTTTGTACCTTGTGTGTCACTTGACGTCGATACCGCATCAAACCTATTTGACACTGAACGTAGTTCGACTCTTTAGCATGGCGAAGACTTTTGTCTTGATACAGCACAAATGCAACGTCATCGGCAATATATGTGGGCCACGAAACTGCACGGTATTGATCGGGTGGTTCGCAGTAGCCGATTCAATATGGTTCGCTTGTGTGTCATGTATTTGCGTTTCGCTTGCGACGAGCTGCAGATTATCACCGCATCGAGCTTTTTTATTCAGCACCATTGCTGATGAATCTGTGGGTTCGTTTGTACAGTATCCCAGCATCAAAGATAGGATGCACGCGTCTGTCGAGTTTGGCATACCATCACCTTCAACAACAACAAGGGGTCCTACGATACAACTATGTGAACCACATTCGTTTCCATCTGCACTGATAGGTTGCTCTACGCTGTTGTTGTGTCCGGAAACTAAACAGGGGTGCTCGCCGGTCTCTAGTTTTTAGCTCAGGTCCAGCACGCATCCGGCCAGTCATGCGCGCAGCATGCCTTTTGTGCATGTGTACTGCAAAAGCAAATGACATTCAATACCTGATTAGGCGAGGCGCATCTCACCATCCTGTGCTCGGGGTTAAGGACACTACCGCTGGACACGGGTTCGTTTTTTGGAAAGCAATGAAGCTCGGAC